AGTGAGCTGAGATCGCACCACTGCACAGAATGAGACTTGGTCTGAAAAAATAAATTAATTAAATAATCCTCCATAATAGGGTGATTCAACCTGAAGGGAAGACCTTTCTTGGAAGTACCAGTCATGCCTGAGAGCTGAAAGATGAGTGGAATTCACCAGGCAAAAAGAGGAGGGAGGAGTGGTTGGAGGAGCGGTACTATCGTGTGCAAAGGACCAGAGGCAGAGGGAGGCATGGATCTTTGGGGAACAGAGAGAAAGCTAGTGCAGCTGGGGCAGAGATGGGGAGGATAAGCTGACTGAAGGCGTGAGTGGGTGACTTCCTGGGACCTGATGGGCCTCAGGAAGGAGTTTATTTAAATGTGTGGGATGAAGCAGAGAGATATGAATAAATTTGCACTTCAAATAACCACCCTGGCTACAATGTGGGCAGCAGTGTAGGAAGCCTAGGAGGACCCTCTAGGCCAGTGAGGAGGCAGCCGCAGGAGTCCCATGGAGAGATGGAAATGGTATGGATGAGGGTGGTGCTCGTGGTCGTGGTACAAACAGAAGTGGATGGAGAGATACTTCTCTTCTAGTGGATGTGTTAATAGGATAACAATATCCCGTGGCTGCTTTTTATTAAATTTTTTATTTCAATAGTTTTTGGGGTACAGGTAGTTCTTGGTTACATGGATAAGTTCTTTAGTGATTTCTGAGATTTTAGTGCACCCGTCACCTAAGCAGTGTATACTGTACCCAGTGTGTAGTCTTTTACCCCTCAACCCCTGCAGTCTTCTCCCAACTCTGAGTCCCCAAAGTCCATTATATCACTCTTCTGCCTTTACATCCTCATAGCTTAGCTTCCACTTATAAGTGAGAATATATAATATTTAGTTTTCCATTCCTGAGTTACTTCACTTAGAATTATGGCCTTCAGCTCCTTCTGAGTTGCTGCAGAGGACATTATTTTGTTCCCTTCTGTGGCTGAGTAGTATTCCATGGTGTACAGGTACCGCATTTGCTTTACCCACTCATTGGCCATTGGGCACCTGGGTTGGTTTCATAAATCTTTGCAATTGCAAATTGTGCTGCCATAAACATGGATGTGCATGTATCTTTTCATGTAGACTTATTTTCATGTGACTTATTTTTGGGGAGTGTTAGATACTCAGTAGTGGGATTGCTGGGTCAAATGATAGTTCTACTTTTAGTTCCTTAAGGAATCTTCATACTGTTTTCTATAGTGGTTGTACTAATTTATATTCCCACCAGCAATGTAAAAGTGTTCGCTTTTCATCACATCCATGCTATGGCTTCTTTTTGTTGAGCACATACTATATACCAGCCATTGTGCTCAATACTTTACCTATGTTATTTACTCTTGGGATTGTTAAAAGGATTAAGTATTTCTGTCCCTTTACAGATGAAGCAACTGAGACTCATAGAGGTTAAGTCATTTGCTCAAGGCCACACAGTCAGTAAGGTGGCAGAGCCCTGGAGCAGCATCTCAAACTTTAATGTGCCTTTGACTCACCTGGGGCTCTTGTTGAAATGCTGCTTTTGATTCAGCAGGTGGGAGGGTGGAGCTGAGGTACTCTGTTTCTAACTGGCTCCCTGGTCAGGCCCTGCTGCTGGTCCTTGGACCACTCTGAGCAACAAAGGCCTCTCTGCCTCTAGGGCCCACACTTGAGGCCCTGATGCCTTAGAAACAGCTGCAGACAGAATGCGATTCCTGAGACTGCTTAAACCTGAATCCCCACGGGTAGGATGTGGGCGAGCTGTCTGGACCTCAGGTGGGTGGGAGTCGGATCACATGTTCATTTCCCACATTGGCCATTCAGTAGCTCGATCGAGTAAACCCAAAACTGAGAGGGTTGGAGGCAGCATCTCCCCTTCTGCTCCCCCGCCCCACCTCCCAGCGTAACCAGACCCCACCTGTGCCCAGCTTCTGAGCCATAGACCTGGCGGTGTGTTTGCAGGAACCTCGTTGGAATCACCAACCAGGTCATGTTGCGTTGCACCAATAAATGGGAGTAGATCAGAAAATCTAACGTGGATAGTTTTTAGGTACTGTGGGAAGTAGAAAAGTTCCTTTTTAAAGTTTCCTTTCTTGTTAAAGAATAAATGTGCTAATAACTTTTTAAGCCCTATCCTATGTAGCTGTTGACATACCACGTTTACAGGCACGTAGTACTTGGTTAAAGTACAAGGACACATCCTTGTACTTTAACCAAGATATCTCTGCTGGATGTACTCACAGGCATGTCCCAGCTCACCATTGCTTTTACCTGTTTAGAAAAGTTTTCTTAGTCAATCGGGTTTTAGGTTAGATTGTGAGGTCTGGCTCCAGCCAGCGGAGATCAGACACAGCAGTAAGGATGACCCCAAATGCGTAAGTAATAAATTTGTGTGTTTTCCTTTGCTCATCTTGTGGCAAGATGGCTAGTGAGAGTACCCTTCCTGCAGTCCAGGACGTAAAAATTGCGTTGCTGAAAGATCCTTTGTCTCAGTGCTGATTTTTCTTTGTGGCACTGAGCATCTATTTCCAACAGGTACCAAGCAGTCAGCTCTTTCCTTGGACTTGCTGAAAGTGGGAGAGGAAAAAAAAATCAACCCAATGTTCTCATTTCTCTATCTACATGATCATTAGAGACCAAATCCCTTCCTGCTTGGCCCCTGGAAATGGGGGCCAGGTGTCGCTGCTGGGAGACGCCAATACGGCTGTACGTCATGGTGTGAGCACTTGTCTTTAATGACTGAGAAATTCCATTTCCCTCCTTGGCAGCTTTGAATGTAGCAACTGTGGCTCTGGGACACTGCCAGAGCCAGCCCTGTATGTATGTGTGTCATCTTCTTTAAAGTGGGAGAGAGAATGTCTCAATATTCAGTGCTCACCCTTCCTTCCAAGTTGTTGCCCCAAAGAAGTGTCCAATACAAACTTAGGAGTTTTCCACTCTGGAAGCAGTCTGCCGGCACCCTCAAGTCCTCCCCTCCTCAAATGCCTCCTTTCTCTCTTGATCCCGTTGTTCTGGGGTCCTCAGCTGAGTGGGCATCTGTGCCTGAGTGATACAACCGATTCTAGCCTCTTTTCTCCAACTCTTGAGCTCTGAGACAGGTAAAAAGAAAATCTTAAATAATAATGTTCTGCCTCACACTAGTAAATATTTTTCACTTAAAAATTCTATGTCATTTTGATTTGTTCAGGTAGACAAGAACATCTTTTGTTTGAGGAAAAACTGAAGAGATTTCTTAGGATTCAGCTCCAATGGCTCTGCCTGTGTCTCTTTATCATTGGAGCTTTGTTTTCCGCCTTTGCAAGACTAGGGTGAAGGGAAGGCTTTGTGGTCTATTGTTAGGTGCTCTTTGAATCTACAAATCACAGTCTACAGGAAGGGAGCGGGGCTTCCAGAGACCATCTAGAGCAACCCTCTGTCTCTAGCATGGACACACAACGCACACACAGTGACTGCCTGTTGTGTGTTTCTAGAACCCAGTGGGGACAGGGAGACAATTTCTTTTGGTGTGTAGTTCTCACGTTGCTTGATTCCGACCGTTGTGTTCTCGTGCCTGCCCTAAATATCTCTTGCTGCAGCTCCGGCATGTTTCCTAATCAGCTACTGCACCATCCTGGCCCATGCTCTTAGAGACATGGTTATCTCTGTGATACGAGTGTCTGTTCTGGCCTAGGCAAGTCACACCCCTTTCTGAGTCTCATATAAAATGTGGCTTTGAGAGTAGATGATGTGTCTGGTCTTAAAATTCTCTTTGACTCTGGAGCTCTGGATCTGAGCTTCTGTTTGATGTTGTTTCTCTTGCTGGGCAACCTTCTCACTGACTCTCTGCTGTAAAGCCTCCCTTTTTTAAAAAATCAAAACCTAACTTGGTTCTACCTACCCCATGGCTGACCATCCAAGCACTTTCTTTAGACTTAAGGGTAGCACCATACAATTTCTTCTTTTTGTTTTTCATTTTAACAACCTGTATTTTTCACATCACATTTCTAGATATTCATCGTAGATAATTCAGAAAATATAGGTTAATGAAAAGAAAAAATGGAAATCACTAAACTTCTCACTCTCAGACATAACCACTGTTAACAATTTGGTGTATTTTCTTTCACTCTTTTTTTTAAACACTCATATATAGACTAGCAAATTTCATACTATATAATTTTGTGTTCTGCTTTTCCACCTAATAATATATAATGAGCATTTTTACCTATCATGAAACATTTGTAAACATAATTTTTAATACCTGCTTACTACTTTACATCACCTACTTTATTTAGCCCTTGCGTAATTATTTCCAAATGGGAAAAATACCTATCCTGTCTGAACTCACTGAACTGGCCTAATCAAATGAGATAAAATATGCAAAGAGCTACACAGATGTAAGTGGTGATTGTTCCTTATGTTAGTTTTATCTCCCCAAGTGAACTACTTTACTGTATTGTGACAAAATGGTGATACAATTTCCTGTTCACTAAGTTTTGCACAGTAGTGGGCAAAACATGCTGTCTGGCTGTAATTTCTTAAAACGGCATGTAAATATTAATAACTTCAGAAGTTTTTTCTTAGTTTCTTAGAAACTCTGGTCTAAGGAAATTATTCAAAATGTTTTGTGCACAGAGATGTTCACTATGGCATTATTTACAATACCCCCAAACTAGAAATCACCAAAATGTCTAATTATATGAGAAGGAGGTGAAGTAAATGTTGCTGAACCTACTTTCTAGGCTATTAGATAGCTATTAAAAATGATGTTTACAAGGCCTTTGTAATAAAATCAGAAACTTTTTTTGTCATAATTACGGGAAGAAATGAAGGTACAGTATGAGAGGTGGAGAGAAAGACACCAAAATGGGAATGGTGGTTGGAGTTAAAGAATGGGTAATTGTTTTCCTTCTCTTTGTCTGCTTTTCTTCAGTGAGCTTGTGTGCCTTTGATACATTAAAAGGTAGAGAGACAGAGAGAGACAAGATGAGAGGGAGAGACGAGATGAGAGAGAGAGAAGTGAACCTTGTTTTAAAAATTACCTGGTGGAAGAACTTCCGGCAGCGGCAGCTCCAGTGGCCAAGGCAAGATGGGTCAAAGTCAGAGTGGTGGTCATGGTCCTGGAGGTGGCAAGAAGGATGACAAGGACAAGAAAAAGAAATATGAACCTCCTGTACCAACTAGAGTGGGGAAAAAGAAGAAGAAAACAAAGGGACCAGATGCCGCCAGCGAATTGCCACTGGTGACGCCTCACACTCAGTGCCGGTTAAAATTACTGAAATTAGAGAGAACTAAAGACTACCTTCTCATGGAGGAAGAATTCATTAGAAATCAGGAACAAATGAAACCATTAGAAGAAAAGCAAGAGGAGGAAAGATCAAAAGTGGATGATCTGAGGGGCACCCCGATGTCAGTAGGAACCTTGGAAGAGATCATCGATGACAATCATGCCATCGTGTCTACATCTGTGGGCTCAGAACACTACGTCAGCATTCTGTCATTTGTAGACAAGGATCTGCTGGAACCTGGCTGCTCAGTCCTGCTCAACCACAAGGTGCATGCCGTGATAGGGGTGCTGATGGATGACACGGATCCCCTGGTCACAGTGATGAAGGTGGAAAAGGCCCCCCAGGAGACCTATGCCGATATTGGCGGCCTGGACAACCAAATTCAGGAAATTAAGGAATCTGTGGAGCTTCCTCTCACCCACCCTGAATATTATGAATATAGAGACGGGTATAAAGCCTCCTAAGGGGGTCATTCTCTATGGTCCACCTGGCACAGGCAAAACCTTATTAGCCAAAGCAGTAGCAAACCAAACCTCAGCCACTTTCTTGAGAGTGGTTGGCTCTGAACTTATTCAGAAGTACCTAGGTGATGGGCCCAAACTCGTGCGGGAACTGTTTCGAGTT